TTTGTTCCGGAAAAACTAAACGAGATTGACAAAAACGGTGCATCCCGGGTTCGAACCGAGGATCAGTGATCCTGAACAACTTTGGGACACACCTTACGGTGAAGTAAACCGACCAAAAGCATATGGTATGATTGTCAGTTTTTGATGAAGTTTGAGGCTGTTGTCAGGTCGTTGTAAGGAGTATCCGATATTGTTACTTTAAAACATCACAGTCTCTCAGTCTAAGTAAACTTAGGCTCAGTATTATTCGTTACACTGCTATACTGAGTCGAACAAACCCCAGTAGAAGGTCGCGTCATGCAGCTAACCTTTTGAACTGCATGACCAATCAGAACACAGCTTACCAAATCGCGAAAGTTAACATTCGCACATACCGTTTGTACTTTTACCTCGAAAACTCGAACGATTCCGAATGCTATTTTCCGGACGATCGCTTCCGAGTGATACACATGGAGCACGCAATGAATAAACAGTCGCTGAACATAGCGTTTTTGTCAATATTCCAGGATGTCATGTTGCGGAAACATAAGCTAACATTATTATCTTATTATTTAGGAAAATGGTAATGAGATACTTACATTACTGACTGGCACCAAAGGTAGTACAGCAGCACGCCGCACAAACCTGGTGTTTCTACGTCCTGATTGTAGATCCAACTGCCTGTGTCTTCCTCCAAATTCATTGGGTGTAATGGATAGGGGTGGGTATTGCAGAGAATATTCATATTGCGATATATTGCGATGTGAAAGCATGTATTGCGATATGTATTGCAATATATTGCATGAAGTATTTCTAAACAAAAACACTACTATAATCGAGTTACTGATTGATTTATAGAGCAAAAACACAACAAAATCACTTTGCTTGATTAAGCTTTAATAACAAATTTTAATCATGATAAAATAAAAATGTGAATAATATTTGGCACAAATGAAACAAGGAAATACCCGAAGATTTCCGAGTGTTACGACGTTTTCCGAATGCAAGTCAAAATACCGGTTTTCGATCAGCGTATCGCAATACGTATCGCTTTCATGTCTGAACCGGTAAATACCGGTAAACCGGTTATATTGCGCAGCCCTAGTAATGGAAGAGGCAGCCTCTTTCATCGATTGTCAAAACAAACTAAGTGAGTTCATATCAACTTTATTGATTTCAATCATGTAAGTGAAAACGGGGTGAGTATATATCACCTATTTCGTTAGGTAGTTCAGAATTTAGTATAACCCAGAAAATTAATCCCTTAAAACAACATGTACAGTCAGCCCCCCAACATCAAAGGATTTTTACTGTAATAACAAATGTCTACTTCCCGGTAAGACTTCAATTCAATTCAATTCTTTATTCTCATAAACCACCTTGGTGGTACAAGAGCATATATTGTAAACATATATACAAATACAAATTCAAATTCAAGATGGAAGTAAACAACATATTAACATTTTTTCTGACGAGATGATAGATGTAGGATATATTTTGATAGATTTACTATGTCTCGAGATGTTTTTTACAGATAATATTTTCGTGAACTTTGTTTCATTGGGAAAAGAGGTTAGATGGGAGGGTAAATATTGTTTCCTCAAAGTATCTTATGCTTTGCAATGAAAAATATAGTGGTATTCATCTGCGATGCTTTTAGAAGTGCATAGTTGACACGTTCTCTCGTCCCTTGGAATATTACACCAGCAGCCCGTCTCAATAGGTAAACTATGGTTACATGTTAGGGTTGACTCAGTATAGCAGTGTAACGAATAATACTGAGCCTAGTTTACTAAGAAACCACAGTCCCTTTTCCGCTACAGACTTCAGTGGGTTTGAATACAATATTCAAAATATTCTACCCCCCCTCCCCGCATCCAGGACTCAAACAAACCATTTCTGTCTTAAATCTCCTCCAAGTATGGGAGAGTATATGCTAAGTCAGTATATTTAGGTTCTTGAAATCCTCCTGGTTCTCAGATAAGCTCCTTTTTTCAGAAATGCGTCAAAGATAAGCTACGTCCAAATCCTTACATATTTCTTTCCGATCTAATTATACGGTAACACTTGAGAAACAGCGACAGGCCGAACCAACAGCTGGGGAGATTATAGATATAATATGTCATAACCTTTGATTACCAGCTTACGGTTTACAACCCCTGACAACAAAAACTTTGATTGCTACGCAAACACTTTAAGAGGCAGGAATCGATCTTTTACAAGAGCGGGTCGATTAGTCGTTTATATAACACAGCACCAGCCTAACATATTGAGCGAGTATGGTTTTACGCCGCCTTCACCAATATTCCAGGAATATCACAGAGTGGACACCATAAATGGGCTTCACACACTGTACTCAAGGGGAAATCGAACCTGGGATTTCAGTGTGACGAGCGAACACTTTAACCACATGGCTACCCTTCCGCCTCTAGAACGCACACACCAGCGGCTCTGTTCAATTATCAACTCCCTAATCGTTTGGTAGGTATCATTGGGGCGGTGGGGTAGCCTAAGGTGGTTAAAGCGTTCGCTTGTCACTCCGAAGACCTGGGTTCGATTCCTCACATGGGTACAATGTGTGAAGCCCATTTCTGGTGTCCCCAGCCGTGAGATTGCTGGAATATTGCTAAAAGCGGCGTAAAACTAAACTCACTCACTGATAGGTATCGAACCTGGGTCTTCGGCGTGATGGGCGAACTACTAGCTAGACTACCCCAGAGCCCCTAAAAATGGTAGAACAGATGGACGAAGAATGTAATCTATGTAACCCTCATAACGTTTCTAATTTCCGTTATCGGTGACCACTGGTCACCTTCCCACACAATAAAACCTCCTCCAGTTGCCGGCACGATCTTCTGGACACGCATTCGTTCGTTCTCCCCGTCGGTTTAAAGGAAGCTGCGTTCCATTCTGAACAGGCCGAGCCGTTTTCTATATCAGGAAAGACGACCGTCTGTCAGTCACGTCGCTGCCAACGACACACAGTGTGGAGCTGTCTCAATCTCTGACGGCGATATATTGCACTGTCAATAACTCCTCTGTAAGTGGTCACCTGGCCACTGTCTGTCGACTAACCATATGGGCCAAGTCATCGTCACTGATGACGTCACTGCCAGGAATCGATGCAAAGGACACATGTACATTTACCCTGGGTCCGCCTGCTCATGGTCCGTCTGATGTCAGCTCGGTCTGTCTGTAACGCTGCATCTGGTCAGTCACAGCACGACGGGCGCAACCAATTGTTCTACCAATGTGGGCTAGGGTAGTTCACATGTGTTTCATACTCAGGCCCGTTGTTCGAGTGTCAATCGTGGTAATTCAGTAGTGAGGGTTTTTTATCAGTGTGTGTCTTCCGCATGATGTCCCTATCATATACATTACCCTATTTGCACGTGCAGTTTCGGCTTTCCAAGTGATAGGTGTTTTTTCGCATTTTCTAAAAAACAAAACCCACAAAAAGCCAAAGAATAATACGTGCCTTGGGCGTGTATCACATTCTGCAGAAAGTATTGTTGTGTTTGGGCGATGTGTTTCACTGATTCAGTTTGAACTTGTGTTTTTTGCAAGATCATTGTTAAGGTAGTAAAGTTTCTTTAGGCCACCTGGAGACGTAAATCTTTACAGAGACGACTTGTTTTGTATTGTTTTTATAATTGTGATTTAAACTAGTGCTTTTTGTATCAGAGTCTAATATGTACAGTTGTAGCTGAAAATACAAATTAACAAAGGGTCTGCGCAGACAAAATACGGCGCAATTGACACTCTCCGGGTTTAACATACTCTACGGCTCAAGACACAACACAGACTCCTTCTTTGGTCGAGTTTCTCATTATTTTTGCATATCTGCAAACCTGTATATATCTAATTGGTGTTGAATAAAAGAAGCTCATCTGCCAATAGGTTTCAAAACAATTCCTGTTCATAGTCTATTTGATACAACACCTATTTCAATATATCACAAACGTATGCATGCACAATGTATTTAATGTTTGTACTTTCATTCAGGCGAAAAAATATTGTTGTCGATTATGGAATAACGATGCGGTGTCTAGGAACGCATGTTCTTTGTCAGACATTGAAAAGTTCACGATACATTTCGTAAACCATTTTAACACATTTCTTTATAAACTGACAATTTGCCAATTCTTTCAGTTGTTGCACTTTAAACAACAGCGCCATCTCAGACAATGATTTCACTCTCTCTTAGGAACTGGGGAGGTGAAATGGGGTTCAACGTGTACCAAACACTATTGTGTTACCTACTTGGTATGAGTGAGTGAGTGAGTGAGTGAGTTTTACGCCGCACACAGCAATATTCAAGCTATATGGCGGCGGTCTGTAAATAATCAAGTCTGGACCAGACAATCCAGTGACCAACAGCATGAGCATCAATCTGCGCAATTGGGAACCGATGACCTGTGTCAACCAAGTCAGCGAGCCTGACCACCCGATCCCGTTAGTCGCCTCTTACGACAAGCATGTGTTACTGAAGATCAATATTCTAACATGGACCTTCACGGGTCCCTACTTTGGTATGACGCAGCCAGGGTTCGAACCACTCTGTCAGACACTCTATCTACTAAACCAAGAATGTGGATCCCCTTCCAAACAGGCGTAGTAATGGAATACATCAAAGTCCCAAGACTTCACTCCGGGTTAGAATTGGTCTTCAGTAACCCATGCTTGTCTTAAGAGACGACTAACGGGTCGGGTGGTCAGGCTCGCTGACTTGGTTCACACATGTCAGCGTATTCTAATTGCGTACATCGACGCTCATGCTGTTGGCCACTGGATTGTCTGGTCCAGCCCCGATTATTTAAAGACCACCGCCATATAGCTGGAATATTAATGAGTTTGGCGTTAAGCAACAAACCAAACCACTCATGCACTCACTCTGATCCATATTTACAGAACGCTGACACATAGCTGGAATATTGCCAAGTGCAGCGTTAAACAGCAAGCCAACAACCAACCTTCACTCGGAATGTACGGATGCCGAAGACAATGGACAAGACAATTGATCAGGAAATTACGCAATTTATTTGCAATACGAAGATAACAGAAAGGTACTAGCCTGAACTATTTATTTACAACCAGAAAAGTAACAACGAGGTATATATTATCATCAATATAATCAATATAATCATCAACAAACTTATTTACATGAGTTCAACAAATTGCTGACACAGCTAAAACGACCAGTCAGGGACCTCACCCAAGCACGAGTTTACTGAGGTGCCCGTATGTGTCCCCATACTGGCCAGGACGCAATTGGTCGCACGGTAGCATGTCACGTACGTGCTATATACAAGGGTATTGTGACAAGCGCAAGATAAACACACTGAAAATAGTTGACAAATTTTGGCGAATTATTATATATTCCTTTAATATTAATATGAAAATATAGTTTATTTGGTACTAAAATAATGTGTAACATGAATCTTGAAAAATATATTAAGAAATACTTCACTCGTGACGAAAATTAAGGCTTTTGTTGATGAAAGAATTACTGTATAACACCGTACATAAAATAGTAAAATACGAAACTTCATATTTACTTTTTTGACTTCACAATCAAACGTAAAGATACGATTTCTGTAAAAAGAACGGAATATCATTTCTTAATTTCCACCATTTACAAAAGCGCTTGTCTCAACCGAAAATGGCCCTATTAGAGTTCGATATGTATGTATATTTTTACCTATTCATAACCAATTTTACGTTATTTAAAATTTGAATGACCGAAAAACTGTCTCTACCCACTGACCCGCATCGTGTGAACTGACCGTTAACTGGTAATGGAGATGTGCGTTATTAATATTTGCGACCATAAACGAAGTAACAAGTATATACATTATTTACATACACTCTATAAAATATGTACAAGCTATTGCCGTGACCTTGACCTGACGTTACGTTTTATACAGCACGCGTATAATCATACACCATAGCTGAGAATAATGCATTAAAGAAATGATCATATTATACATTAATATAAAATTGAATAACTGTAACAGGATATTACTATTGATGGACAGCGAAAGCCAACGTATCACATCCACTTGTCCTACTGGAAGCACACCCTGACGTGTCCCGCCGTCAACTCTACACACCACTTTCTTCCCACGGCTCGTCACACCGTAACTTGTAGCTTGTCTCACGGTGATTGGAGGGTATTTCTGATGTTAAATACCTTAAGGAAACTAACACGTTATGTATCTTGATTATGTTTCCAATTTCCATTTGGCAAAGCAGCAACTTACATCTTGGCGGGGGTCGCCATAACTGCTACGTTTCACCGGAAGCTGCTGCCAAACTTGACACAGCGAAGCCAGCTCCGCCATGACAAGCTGGCCTTGACCTTGTTCCATGACCCTGTACCCATATGTCAGTTTTAAGGCAGTTTGGGAGGAAGCATCCTGTTTCGACCTTCGACTCCTGTTTGGTTTTTTCGCTGTTTCCTCCTCTTCAACCTCTCAAACTTCTCCGTCTTCCACCACTTCCTCACCAGTCTAGCCAATCGTTTCATGGCGTTGCTGTACCTGTTGACGTCGGTTGACGTCTTCGACGCCTTCTCCTTTTCAAACCCCTTCAGTTCCATCCATCGTGACCTTGACCTGTGGATCATCCTCTGTGTACGTTTCAAGGTTCGTAGCAGCTCCCGAACCCGTTTGCAGAGCTGCGAGTGTACTTTCCTGCACTGAAAGATAAAACATGAAATCTGTATATAACAGGCAACGTAGGACGAAATGTCATCGTGTTATCAAATCCACTGAGGGGCGATAGATGTGTTCGTTATTACTGCAACAGACTGGTCTCCCACGACTTTGTTCAGCAAACCTATAACTTTGATAGCTTAAGCACGAGTCTGTCGGGGAGAAAAACAAGTACATGTTGCTGTTCGCGGCAGTTTGTCCCTAAATCCACACAAGGAGACACACACGGGGTACTGGGTACAGGGGTGGAAATAACCCATTGCTCGACGTCCGAGTCCAGTGTTTTTTTTCTGTCGGGCAAGCAAATTTGCATATCACACTGTACCGGTGTCCAGTTGACTTTCCAATGTTAATTATGTTGTTTATTTAAAAAATGAACAAGAAAACGGCCGGTAGAGTGGAAAAATTATCAGGGCAAGTGATTTTACATGTGCCACTGTACCGGAGTACACTAGCAATTTTAAAGTTATTTCCACCCCTGCTGGGTACCTGTACTACCCCAAATCCCCAGTAGGAGCCAACGTGCCTTACAAGGAACCAGTTCCACCCGACGTTCCCAGACACGGGGTACTGAGTACCTGTACCGAAGTTCCATATGAGAAAAAAACATGGGGTACATGTTTAGCCCGGAATCCCACAGGGACACGAACACGGAGTACCGGGTACCTGATTATCCAGGAAACTGACATTGGGCAGCCGGGTGCAAGTTTGCGTGAAATCCCTATAGGGATAGGAACACGCGGTACTGAAGACCTCTTCTTCAATTTACCCTTAGTGGAGACAAGATAAAGAAGAGGGGGCCGTTTCTGCCCGGAATCCCAAGCGGTAAACAAGAATAGGGCAATGGTGAAGAGTACAGAACCGAATAGTAGAGCACAGGCAAATTGTAGCGCAAATAGGGTTGCGCAACAAAGAGAAATGACCAGTTTTCCCATATGCGAGCGAAGCGAGCAAAGGTTGGCAACGTACTTCCCTCGCTACGGTCCGATAAATATTTTAATATCAAAGTAAAATATCGCCATCATTAAAGGTAGACACCCATTTCCTCACAGAGTTGTGCTCTCAGATTTCCAACCTCATATTTAATAATTACTCGCGTACAATACATTTAATTCAACATTTTAAGCGCAACTTGTGGCATGTCAAATCGTTCTTCGCCTCCATTACCCCTGTCAGCTTCCGGTTCAACGGAGTGAAGGAACAGGGGAGTTAAATTTAAATATGCTTTCATTTCACCCGTTACGCCAGAAGTGTTTTTTGTGGAATAAATATTACGAAAATTCTAACAATAACGACGGTAGATGAGAAAAATAATCCCAACAGTTTAATGGTGAAATTATACAATATGATATTTGTGTTTAATTTCTGCTTATTCTTGTTCTTTCACTCCGTTGAACCGGACGCTGACAGGGGTAATGGAGGCGAAGAACGATTTGACATGCCACAATTTGCGCTTAAAAATGTTGAATTAAATATATTATTAAATATGAGGTTGGAGATCTGAGAGCACAACTGTGAGGAATTGGGTGTCTACCTTTCATGATGGCGATGGCATAATGATAGTTTCAGTTGTAGAAACTTGACGGAAACCTAGATTTGTTAGTTTCAGTTTTGTAAACTATGCGGAAACTCGCATTGTCTGTTTCCGGATACTGAAACCTAGCGGAAACCTACATTACCCAGTATCCATTTGGTTTCCGCAAGAACGGAAACTAAGTTATTTTTGCTGTGGATATTTTATTTTGATATTAAAAATATTTTTCGAACCAAAGCGAGGGAAGCAAGTCACCAACCATTGCTCGCTTCGCTCGCATATGGGAAGACTGGTCATTTTCTCTTTGTTACGCAACCATATTTGCGCTACAATTTGCCTGCCTGTGAATAGAGCCAGTGCTATTACCGAACCTGCCTGTTACCACATTGAGAACCCGTACACACGATGTTACTTTCATCAAGAAGTCACATGAGTATGCTCTGAGTACTGAAGTGAGGGTCACCTCCATTCATTGAGAATCAAACGCACGCAAATGTACATAATACCATTAGCTTTTCTTACAGTTCCATGTGTTATAAGGTTTAAAGATGTGTTTTCTAGCGATCACCCACGCTCATCGAAATGTGCAGTGTAGGCTTATAAAAATACCGTTGATTCATCGTTCGTGTATGTTTGGGCTCCGACTATTACGACAAGCCGTAAATGATGGGTGTATAGTTCTTTCAGAGCCACCTACGTTACAATGATGATATGATACGGAATTCTGTCAATGAAATGTACATAACCCGAGTGGAAGCACGTGCGGATGTTGCTAAGGTAATAGTTAACTCACGTCGGTTTCTGGCAACTCGCTCAGGGGAAGCCATGGGGCGTCACGTGACGTCATGTCTGTTTTCTTTGCTGATCATCCTAACTCGATTACACCATCTGGACATACTATTAGCAATGTGTTTGTAGTCTCGTCAAGATGGTCATGGTGTTGGGGTGGCCGAGTGTTTTTAATCTACTCGAGCGGGCCACAGTGTTAGGGTCGGTGCGTGTCTGCAGTCTACTCGAGCGGGCCATAGTGTTAATGTACGTCGGTGCGTGTTTGTAGTCAACTGTTCTAGTCAGTGCGTGTTTCAAGTCTATACATGCTAGCCATGGTGTTAGGGTCGGTGCATGTTTGTAGTCAACTCGAGCGGGCCATGGTGTTAGTCAGTGCGTGTTTCAAGTCTATACATGCTAGCCATGGTGTTAGGGTCGGTGCATGTTTGTAGTCAACTCGAGCGGGCCATGGTGTTAGTCAGTGCGTGTTTCAAGTCTATACATGCTAGCCATGGTGTTTGGGTCGGTGCATGTTTGTAGTCAACTCGAGCGGGCCATGGTGTTAGACAGTGCGTGTTTCAAGTCTATACATGCTAGCCATGGTGTTAGGGTCGGTGCATGTTTGTAGTCAACTCGAGCGGGCCATGGTGTTAGTCAGTGTGTGTTTCAAGTCTATACATGCTAGCCATGGTGTTTGGGTCGGTGCATGTTTGTAGTCAACTCGAGCGGGCCATGGTGTTAGTCAGTGCGTGTTTCAAGTCTATACATGCTAGCCATGGTGTTAGGGTCGGTGCGTGTTTGTTGTCTACTGTGCTAGCCATTGTGTTAGGGTCGGTGCGTGTTTGTAGTCTACTGTGATAGCCATGGTGTTAGGGTCGGTACATGTTTGTAGTGTACTGTTCTAGCCATAGTGTTAATGTCGGTGCGTGTTTGTAGTCTACTGTTCTAGCCATAGTGTTAGGGTCGGTGCGTGTTTGTAGTCTACTGTGCTAGCCATGGTGTTGGTCAGTGCGTGTTTCAAGTCTATACATGCTAGCCATGGTGTTTGGGTCGGTGCGTGTTTGTTGTCCATTCATCTTAACCGTGGTATCGGGTTAGACGTATGTTTGTTATCAACTGTGCTAGCCACGGTGTTTGGAGAACTTCGTGTCTCTAGTCTACTCAGTCTTGCCAACGGTTTACAGCGGCCGCGAGTATCGGAAAGGTACCACGTGGTTCTAGCGTTAGTCTACAAACCAAACATTGTTTGTCTGGCTCCAATGAGGTTTTACCTCTTTTTATACACTTACATTTCTGAGACTAAACATCATTCTAGGACACATGTACCTGAGTGAAGACACAGAACATGGATGTGTTGGCAGGGCACGATAACTCGTTTACAAATACGTTTACACGCCCGTACCCCCAGGACAAGCGTGTCTCACCGGCGCCAGCCACTATCTCTGTTTAGGGTGGCGTGGAACAAGGCAACAGTTCCTGCCGTACACAGGTTACAATATGGCGAGGCTAGCATCAGCTATTCCCTGAGTGAGAGATAAGCCCTTCCTACATACGCAATTAAGCCATTGCCAGCGGCTAAAAGCGTTACTACACAAAGAAAGATCACGTAAATACGTAACGAGAAAACGGTGTGTTTATCAAAGGGTTCATAAAAGCAATACTTCTGTGGACAATAAAGGCTATACAGTGTTGTGAAGTCGGGGAATAAAACACGATTTACATTCTCTATGAGTTGGCGACAGATTGTGTAGCACTACCATATTTTGTACAGTTAGTACCACAGCGAGTTCAATTCCGACTCCGGCGCAGACAAACCATCGATGTGAAACGCAATCGAATGGTCTTTACCGACATTACCCAGTGAAGATCCGGGTAAGAATTCGTCTTCAGTAACCAATGTTTATATAAGAGGATCCACCTGGTCAGACTCGATGACATCAATGCTCATGATATCCCTCACCAGCCTGTCGAGTCGAGCATAGATTCTTTACAGACTTCATACGTCTGGAATTTTGCAGAGTACGCCGTTAAACTAACAAAGCAACACACGCAGTGGATGAGTGAGTATCTTTTCAGACGCTGTTCAAGAAGCCGTCCACGCCAATATTCCCATTTCTGTCTACATACTACGTTCTGTGGTTAAACAGACATCTCTGGTAGTTCATCATCTATAGTATCCAGCAATCTTTCAAATCACGTACGCCATGGTGAAATATCGGATGAAATTATCTATATTGCACTTCTATCTCCCAATGCTTGGCCCTATCAGCGGCCGAGGAACGTACGTGGGGCCCTACATTTTCCGCAGCCGAGGTACCTGGATATCGATGCTATCTGATGCTACCAATGTTATTTAGCCGTCTTCTCGTCCATTTCTTGCCATATGTAACCGTGGTTTATTACCAAACGTAATGCAGTCTCAGATGTGAGTCGATAACTTCAAAGATTATACCGGCATCAGTCAGTAAATGCGTTTTTTGCATTGAATAAAATCAGCCCCTATCGCGGAATTATCACTTCTTCCGGCGGTTTACCTCTACGGCACTGTTTCATGTGCGTATTATTACGCGGGTGTGTAGGGGGAATACTTACTGACCCCTCCCGGTTCGTGTACAGCAGGTGGTATGGCAGATCGCCAGATCCTTCCCCCCAACCCTCCCCCCCTCTGCGTCGACCGTGCGTCAATTTCCCCACTGCCAAGCAATCACGATGCCCGACGAAATCAACGTTGCAAAAATCTCGCCGTTTTTTTGTGAATGTTTCGGAAACGACCTACTATCGTCTAGACACCCTGCAAATGGTTTCAGCTTTATCAACCTGATTTAAACCATAAACCCACGCTTTCTCCAACTTACAATGATTAAATCAAAGGTTTTTCGCTTCAATTACATGTGTATACACTGTCTTTAAAATAGATATACATACGAGCGATCCAAGAACCTGCTCTCTCAGACATTTAATAATGCTTTGTCTTCCAGATAAACTCACGTCATCCATGTTCGTGTGCATTCGTATTTAGGGACCTCCTCAAAAGCTCAAATATTATTTTTACACATCAGGGTGGCTGAGTATGGCTTTACGCCGTTTTTAGCAATATTCCAGCAATATCACGGCGGGGGACACCAGAAATGGGCTTCACAAGTTGTACCCATGTGGGGAACCGAACCCGGGCCTTCGGCGTGACGAGCGAACGCTTTATCCACTAGGCTACCCCACCGCCCCTTACACATCAGGGCAAGATTTGATGTTTACGAATAAAGTGACGAGTTAAGACTATTTTCTGGCTTCGGACCAATGAATAACTGTGTCCATCCCGTTATCCTAAACGAAAATGGGATTTGATAAGATACCGCGAATTCCCGAAAATGTTTCTTGATAAAGTCCCCGAAATATGCCCGCCTATCTGGAAGTGGGGCACTGATGAGGCTTCCTGTCTACTGTTATATATCACAAGCGTGGTCACGTGTCAAACTATCTGCATCAGAATCAACCACAGAGGATGTAGGTTGATAACCCACACTCACTTGGAGATTCTTATATATACCATTTACTGAAATGATAGCCTAAATGTTTGTTCAGGCAAACACGAAACGGCAACAACAGGAAGCGCTTTTCTCCACACCTTGGAGGGTGGTGTGCGGAGTTTTGAATGGCCCATACGCCACCTGATATCTTCACTGCTGTCCTTTCTGAAGTTTTCAGGAGATTTATTTTAATTTTAATGTAACATAAAATAATGTACTCAAGAAAGTAACATCTGCCTTAACTAGTTGTTTTGCACCTGGGTGACTGTTTTTCAAATTGATGCGTCACTCAGTGGTCACAACCTGCATCGTAACAGGTGGTTTTAGTTCAAAACGTTTCCGTTTTACCAGCAGGAACTAACTGTAAAATTTTCATTGCTTTGAAATGGCATTCCCTTTCATTCCACAGATATTTCTAAATCTGACACATTCGTGTCTCTAATTAGTATTTTTATGACGTAACACGTGTTATATTTGGGATTACATTTGCTCAGTCAAGTAGAGTTTCTAGTACTTTTGTTGGGTTGAGTCCCATCCGGAATTCGAACCTACCCTCTCAAAGTCAGGCACCCAATCGCCAGCACACAAAGTCACAGAGGAAGAGTGGAAATAGTAATTCTTTCAAAATGACCGCCCAAAATATCTGAATATCATTTATGCAGCCTTTCACTGGTTCGAGTCTCGACCACACAATCCAGTGATTGACATCATGAGCATCGATGTACGCAATTAGGATACGATGACATGTGTCAACCAAGTCAAGGAGCCTGGCCAATGAAGACAGTGAAGGGTGGGTACTTTGACATGACTGATGCCCCCGGCGGAAATGATTTTTCAGACTTATCGTTTCAAATAAATGGCATTGCCAGTGCTATACAGCATTGTCACCCCCTCGTAGAGAATTTAATGCATATTGCAATTAGCATGGGCCACTGAAGACCAATTCTAACCCGGATCTTCACTTGTGAGGATCGGTAAAGACCATGCGATTGCGTTTCACATCGATGGTTTGTCTGCGCCGGACTCGAAAGTGAACGCTTGTATTAATTTCAGTGCTATACAACAATCTGTCGCCAACTCATAGAGAATGTAAATCGTGTTTTATTCCCCGACTTCACAACACTGTATAACCTTTATTGTCCATGTACCAACAGAAGTATTGCTTTTATGAATCCTTTGATAAACACATCGTTTTCTCGTTACGTATTTACGTAATCTTTCTTTGTGTAGTAACGCTTTTAGCCGCTGGCAATGGCTTAATTGCGTAAGTAGGGAGGGCTTATCTCTCAATCAGGTAAAGCTGGTGCAACCTCTTGAATAGTGGAGTGAGTGAGTGAGTGGGTGGAGTTTTGCTGCTTTTATCAACATCCCAGCTTTATCACTATCGCCAGTTATATGTGAAACAGTGAAACAGCGAAACTGAATTGTGGCCTTTGTCAGACATGATCAAAATCAACCTGACATCTTAGTTTGAAGAAATTCAAACAAAATTCACACATTGGGAAAATAAAAATAACTTACCCGTTTGGATGCTTTTCTCCCGATCTTGGTGGACTGTCTGAGGGTGACCTCAAGGACAGAGGTTTTCTCCCACATCTCGAGGCTCTGTCGGTGGGCGAGTCGACTCTCTGGAGACAAGTGTGACAGTGTCAGATTAGCGAGTGATGAGTTAGTGAGTGAGCGAAGCTTGACAACTATTTTTTATCAACATTAAGTTTATAACATATGTTTTATTTGGAATTGCACTTTCTCAGTAAAGTACAGATTACACTACATTTGTTAAGTTAAGTCGCATCCGGCATTCGAACCCAAACTCTTGGAATCGCCAGTATACAAAGTCAGCGATCTAACCCAGTCAGCCAACGTGGCTTCGCGGCATTACTGAGAAAGTGTTTACATTCTAAACTGCATTGTGTAGTCACAATATTTACTTGTGTCACAACACCGCGTTATTTAGAAGAGGTGACATTGGGTGAACGTCACGGTTAAGGTTATTGCGCTTTTGCAGGCACGTTCATGTCTACGTGTTTTGTCCTCAAGACAGGGAAACAACAAACACCATCTTTTAACAGTTTTTCGAGCGACACGGACGTGAATCCAATCACTGACCTAGCGTTACAAAATCTGTTCACTACACTATGGGGGCGGCCTACAAAGAAACGAGCGATTTTTGCTCCTGTATCATCCTCGGTCATCCAGGGTATTTTGTGTCCGTTCCCGTCTATATCCCTTCATCTCTAGCTATGTACCGACTGCTTCTAAGGTACGTAGTCAGGACAGGACCGTTATTATGAACCTTCTTGTCAGGTGAGGTGAGGTGAAATTGGGTTTAACGTCGTGCTTGAGAATATTTCGCTCATATGACGACGTGCATGCGTGTGTATGTGTATGTGCGGCTGCTAGTACTAGCCCAGACTTAAGCTGGTTTTATAGTGCTAGCCCACTGAGATACCATGCCGCAGTGAAGCATGAATACCCCACTCAGACATATTATACTGACTCCGAGCCGACCAGTCCTTGTTGTACCCATTAATGCCGAGCGCCAGGCAGGGACCAGCAAGTACCATATTTTAAAATCTTTTGGTATGACGCGGTCGGGGATCGAACCCGCGACCTTCCGCTCTCCGGGCGGACGCTCTAACCACTACACCACGGAGGCGGTCACCTTCTTGTCAGGGTACAATGAAACCAATCACCCAACCTTACCGTCTAGGGATCGGATTGGAAAACCAGCAGATCCTGCTCGGTGTAAGTGAAACGGAAAATTGTTGAAAACGTTCATAAAATACATTTCGTTCTAGTAAATAATCACAGCACGTGGTTCACCAGCACGTAACCAATCCCATGGTCACCATTGCGAGTTATATGTCCCACCTCTTTCGTCAGGCAGATGCCATGATAACACTCTAGACGTATACAACTACATGTATACTTACGTGCTTTATGCTGTGTCTCAAAGGGGTAGAGGCTGTATCGAAGGTGAGGCGCAATCTTGTCATGGTCAATTTCATCACGTAAATGCTTGATTTCACCCTCCATGATCTGCACATATCGCAGCGCATGCGCATACTGTCCGCTCTTGAACGTCTTGGTGTGGTAGTGTCCCTTTCCTGCCGTTGACAGTCTGATTATCTGAAAGACCAAGTCTCGTGGATGAGCGGTTTCTTAGCCACTGAACTGAAGGCCGTAAACTGGTAGGTGGGTGAAATAACAATAAAATTCCCTCGCTATCATCACTGCAAGTATGTGAACCCCAGAAAATAGCCGATGACGTAAGCCTCGTTCTATGCAGCGTTTGGCGAGTAGAACTCAATGACTACCTTTAAAGTAAACACGAAGAAAGTGTCGGCTCCTTGGGTCGGTCAGTTACAAAAACTGGGGTTTCGAATCCGTCGAGTGAAAGGAACAAAATGTGATATAAAACTTCCTGAAAGGTGATTTTCTGGTCTCATGACCAGAAATAAGCAAACACTAGTATTTTAAAAATCCAACACACTTACTGTCGCTAACATAAGCGTATTAGATGAAGTTTCTACGTAGATGAAAATATCTCCTACGTAGATGAAAATATTCTCTACTCAGATCAAAGTAACTTCTGCGTAGATGAAAATATTTCCTAGGTAGATGAAAGTATTTTCTACGTAGATAAAAGTAACCTCTGCGTACATGAAAATATTTCCTAGGGATATAAAAGTATTTTCTACTTAGATCAAACTGTGTTCTGCGTACATAAAAATATTTCCTATGTAGATGAAAGTATTTTCTACGTAGATCGTGTTCTGCGTACATGAAAATATTTCCTAAGTAGATGAAAATATTTTCTACGTAGATCGTGTTCTGCGTACATGAAAATATTTCCTAGGTAGATGAAAGTATTTTCTACGTAAATCAAAGTGTGTTCTGCGTATATGAAAATATCTCCTACGTAGATTCATAAACTATATATAACTTACATTCGTAAACTGAGTTTAATATTTTTTAAATAACAAATAGAAATAAAAGATACATAAAACAGGGCCGACAGTTCGGTTAACCATCCTGGGCATAGTTGAATGAGCAGCGTTGAATGTATACATGTGACTCACAAGTAGGTTAGCCAGGGTTCCAACTTCCCTCCGTACGGTTTCCATGTAAACGGACATCAGAGAATTCGGTGAACTAATTTCCTTGGCTTTCATTGTCTCCTTCCGCGTCCGGAACCGGAACTGGACTATGATTATCTCCAAGGTGCCATAGCTGATGTTTTTCAGGTAGTATTTCCCATCATTCTTGGACTCTATGTTGTTACTTGGCCATATGTTATTTTCTAAAATGTCTAGACTCTTTCTGTAATATTCAACGTAAGCTCGGATCATTGTCTTCTCGTTGAACGTCAACTTGCTTGCTATCTCAATCTGAAAGTAGAAGACGTTTTGTTTGTTTGTTGATTAACACTTTACTAATCAGAGGTTTCAAATGTTCAAGCTTGCTTTTGATCCGTCGTAGTTAGGTGTAACTTTCAAATGTTCAAACTTCATTTCGATCAGCCTGGATTAGAACTTTCAAATGTTCAAGTTTCTTTTGGATCCGCCTAGATTAGACGGTCGTTTAGAATGGTCAAGTTTATTTTGGATCCACCTAGATTAGACGGACGTTTAAAATGGTCAAGTTTATTTTGGATCCGCTGGGATTAGACGGAGGATTCAAGTTCAAGTTCAATTTGGGCACGGCAGGGTCAGCCGGAGGTCTCAGCTGGTCAAAGCATATTTGGATCCGACGGGGTTTGCAGGGTGTGTCAACAGTTCAAATATTACAACATGTGTGTTGTGAACACAATGCCCATGCTCGTCTGTTTCAGTAAGTGGTGAACGTTTGAGATCTGCATGACTTCGGACTTTCATCCCACATTAAGCAGACACACTGTAATATAACTGAAATACGGTTCACAGCGACGTTAACGCAAACTCACTCACTCACAACTCCTTTCTAGTACATGTGTACTTACTGCAACACAGTCCCCGTTGTTGAGGATACCAAGGAAAGACGCCGCTTCTCCCCCACAGAGACCGAGGTAGGCGATGATGTCGTTTGGGGTGGAGATGGCGGCGTTCCTCTTGCTGTGGACGGGTCTGGTCAGAGATGTCACATTGCCAAATTTCCTTTGAGAACTGGACAGAAACCAGATATGTAACGCTGAACACATTTCAGTTTCATTCTATTCATGCTGTTATAAACTACACATTTGTTTCCATCCATCGGGGCGGTGGGGTAGCCTAATGGTTAAAGCGTTGGATCGTCACGCCGAAGACCCGGGTTCGAATCCCGACATGGGCACAATGTGTGAAGCCCATTTCTGGTGTCCCCCGCCGTGATGTTGCTGGAATATTGCTAAAAAGCGGCGTAAAACCAAACTCAGTCAGTCAGTCGTTCTATCCATCACCGTGAACGAGTATCTATCAAAGCCTAGTTTATGACATTTTCTAAGGTTTATGACTTATTCTCGTCAGATTAACTCTTAAGATTATCCTGTCAGGCCTTGTGAGCAGTGTGAGAAATAGTTTCCAAATTTTACTAGCACGTCCGGCTAGCTGAAAGTTACTTGCCCAAAACAATTCACTTGTCCGAAATTTTATCATTAAGCTGCTAATATGATGATCTTTTTTATCAGGCCATAATATAACAAAAAAGTGTGTTATAACTTAACAAGTCAGAGAGAGTGATGTATGTACAAAATGACCCCATGAAAATTCACTAGCCAGTCGTCCAAGTGACTGTGGAGATTTACTGGCCCGACTGGATTTTTACTAGCCACGGGCTAGCGGGCCAGTGGCTATTTTGCATACTGCTTGTGAGCCAAAAGCGCAATGTAGCTGTAAAATGACCATTTGCCATTTCTATCCATTAAGGATTGGTAACAACAGCCCAGCGGATAAATAGCGGCTTGGCGTTGTGCCAAACACTCGGGTTTGAATCCGGTCCTACACTGTGCTGTCACAAGACACCGGCGCTTGTGTTGTAATTCAAAATTAGGTGTGCTGTAACTTCAGTAAACTTCACTACAGTTGCCTGCTCGCTACTTATGACACTGTACGAGAACACTCGCTTCCCTCTGCCAAATTACATCGCTACTCGTGCGCTTACACACCAAAACCAACATTATCTCTATGAAATTACTCTGCAATCCTTCACATCCTAAATAGCAGATAGATCAACGATTTCTCAATACAATTCCCTTAAATCCGTTTGTTGGTAAAGACAAAATCTGACAATTAAATGAATCACTCATCATAAACCGGTTGGCATACGTCTTATCTATCTTCGTAATTCACCGGAAACAATACACCCCGTTGCCACAACCACCCCCCACCAACCCACCCCTGGAGCGGAGGGACATACGGAAGTGATCAGGTGTAGCTTGGGAGGTTATATCACATCCGCGAAAGTAAAGAGTCCAGACGTTAATGGGAGTTGTTTGGCTACTCAACTACAACCTCACCGGGTGGCGGAGGAATTAGGCTGTAAACAGGCTGAAGGAGCGCGAGCACGTGCATAATACATTGAATACGTACTAAGTAGAAGACAGTAAATCTTTGTCATGATGGCGGAAACATTTGCGCGTCGGTGGACTACAACGTATTCTGGTAACGATGAGCGATGGCACGACTTGGCTTTCAGAGCGTGATGCTAACAGCCTTTAATAATGGCAGTCTTTGGAAATAAAGCGCGTTGGTTTGTAGTGTCGCGGCGAGCTGCGTCGACATGAGTTACTACGAGAAGGTGGATCTGGACTAAAATAACCGCCGAGGAATGCAGCAAATGAGAAATCCAACCAATACACTTGAAGAAAAGAGATGTGTAAAGCTCGTAATAAACATGGCCGGGGTCCCAGAACAACTTATATGACCAGGAGATCAATTCTACGACCTGCAACCTACAACTAAACAGTCGACACAAATTCGGAATAATTCGTCCCTGAACCAGGGCCCCGTTTCACAAAGCTCTCGTACGCCTAAGATCTCGTAATTTTTCTAGTAGCATTCGTACTACCTATGTTACAGTATAGGAGGTATGAATGCTACGAGTTAACAGGAACTTGTTACATTGGGACAGAGAGAGTAAATGCTTGAAAACTGAATCTGACAAAAATTACCAAATAGCTGCCAAAACATTGTGAACTTAAAGTCCCAGCCGTTACTATGTTAGCATTGGTTAATCCTATCCTATTGCACAGTTGCTTGTTAGAGTGAGTGAGTGAGTAAGTGAGTTTTACGCCGCTTTTAGCAATATTAGAGCAATATCATTGCGGGGACACCAGACTGACTGAGTTTAGTTTTACGCCGCTTTTAGCAATATTCCAGCAATATCACGGCGGGGGACACCAGAACTGAGCTTGATACATGGTACCCAAGGGGAATCGAACCCGGGTCTTCGACGTGACAGGCGATCACTTTACCCATCAATTAGGGTCACCATTACATCCATCAACCAAGTCAGCGAACCTGACCCCCATCACAACGGTCTGTAAATGATAACCAGGTGGACTAATGAGTGAGTGAGTGAATATGGTGTTACGAGGCTTATAGCAACATCATGGCGGGGGACACCAGAAATGGTCTTCACACTTTGTACCCATGTGGGGAATCGAACCTGGGTCTTCAGCGTGACGAGCGAAAGCTTTAACCACTAGGCTAATCAATTGTATAAATACGGCACCCTATGCAATCATTATCAATTGATGTCGGTGTCGTGACATGCTTCTTTCAGCCAGCCCTGCGTAAACTCGGGTACAAGTGCGCTATCATGACTGGTAAATTCATCCGCGCTACAAATGTCACGGGAGCAGTGTACATTACATCGTGAATGGATGTATAATTATGAAACGTCTTGGAACTAAGTTTTCTCCGGGGTCCCAAAAGGCAGCGTTACACAACGTTGGCGTTACACCGTTTTGTCTCCGAGTGAATGGAACTATGTTTTATCGCGTAAGCTTCCGTGCCAGAGCCTCGTTCTGATAGCAAGGTGTGGGTTGGTACCTCCCTTGGCGAACCACACAGGCAGGTTGAGGTATCACGGGGGACCCATCAGCCCTGTGGAAACGCTTAGTAAATCACGAACTCGATAAAGAAATAGGTATTTATCTCAACTAGATTTGATATTCACACTGGCTTGTGTTATATCACACAAGATGCGGGACCGTGGACTTCCGGTTGGAACGCAATCAATCTGGCACAGAGAGATAATGAAAGAACATCTCGTTTTGGCAGGCTCCGATTCTGGTAAAAAACTTAACTCGTATTATCGGTGGATCCAACTGCCGTTACTGTTTAAATAACAGGCTACGTTTCTCGGGAGATTACGCGTATGGCTATTTTTCGGAGATTACGGTGAAATATTAAACTACGGGTTTCAGTCCTAGCAAGACTCCACGTTATGTCGCCTTCTACCTCACGATAGTTTTATCTTAATTGATATGAAACGATTTTCACAAATTTTAACCATTAGGGCCTACTATGAAAATCATTGAAGGGGGGATACCAAAGTAACCGAAATCCAAATTTTGCTGGAATGTCGTTAAAGGCGGCGTAAAACTGAACTCACTCACTCATAGAGAAGAACCTGAACATCGGAGAATGCAAGTCACACAAAACCAATTTCCATGCGCTTACTTTCTTTTGCCCGATAGTGTATCAAAAGCAGTGAGTGAGTGAGTGTGGTTTCATTGGCGGGTCCAGGGGGTGGGAGGTGTTCAGGGGGTTCGAAACCACCACCACCACCCCCATTCCCCCTTTTTATTTTGAAAAATCCTGGATCCGCCTCTTGGTTTTATGCCGCTTACAGGAATATTCCAGCAATATGACAGCGGGGGGCACCAGAAATGGGCTTCACACATTGTACCCATGTGGGGAATCGAACCAGGGTCTTCGAGTACAGTCACATGGTAGTAAATTGTGCATAGTCACAATACACAGCCGATCAAACATATACCTCGCTATATAAGCCTAATCAACAATGTTGATTGCATGTTTTGATATCATCAACCAGTGCGGTTGGGTGGCTCGCATGTTGACGGCGCGGGTTCGATTCCCCATATATGGCTACGATGCGTGAAGACCATTTCTGGTGAGGTGCCGTGATGTGTCTTGATTGTTGCTAAAAGCGGCGTGAATCCATACTCACTCGCTCATTAATCAGCCAATCTATCATTTACAGACCGGTGTTATTTAGTGGGGACGTTGCCGACTGTATTAACACTAAATAGAATAGAAAGATGAAATATGAAGGATATTGCACCCACGAGTATATTTTTTCTTTTGGCCTTGACCTTATTTTCAAAGGATGAAGGCCAGGCACAAGGTCAAGGACAACACCCAAATGGAGAATTCGACAAGAGAAAGAGGTGTAACGCCCTTTCAACTGACGCACCAGTTCCTTGCAATCTGTCAACGCCTATGGAGACAGAGCCCAGTCAATGGTGGTGTCACGCCGTCCCATGACAATGTCGTTATGTGGACGTCAGTGTTTCTTAACCACTTCCTACGACGTAAAAGATCACATTTCGAGTACATGGGTTGGGTGACTTACCATCGGAGACGCTCTAGCCCGTGACTTCCCTTGCCGTTGTTAATCGGAACCTCCCGCCGTGGGCACTCGCCGAGATCGAGGGGATCCGAGAACTTCCGAATGTACTCAAAAGCTGTAATATCCATCATTCCCGACGTAGCCCTGGATTCAAGGAAAGGACTTTTATCAAACGTGCACATTTAGGTTCTGTGTAAAAACGTATTTCTGAAATTAGAATTCAAATGTTTAAATGGAAATTGGACTTTATTACAGTGCTACTAAGTGTATATAACGACATTTTTCTATCACTCTCCAGGAGCTGAGTAGTTCTACTGAGCACATGCCTTAACAAATATTGCATAAAAAATATATTCAAATATATTTTTAAAATAAACTATTTTCTCATAAATCAACTGCATCAAAGAAACGGGTGAAATATTTATATTCGACATTTTGACCCTTTGAGTCTGGTGCTATTAAGCTTTCAAAAATACATTAATAAAATGTAAATAAAATCGGCATATATATATTTATATAGAGCATAATATGTCAAAAAGATTGGTAAAGTAGGCTAGCATATGTTGAAACTGAAATAAACTCCAAAAAAATAAATGTGGTGCTTAAGGTATTCTGAACAGGCGCTCAGAGAACGGGGCGCCTGCGATTGTGTAGATTCACCTGATAGTTTACAATGCAAAACAGTTGTTTATACTATAGTGTTTATCGACATCGGGGATTTGACCTTTTCCTCGCAGCTCGCAACAGCTTGTTGATTACAAAAGCCCAAAGCACCTGCCAGGTTTTAATAATTAACCCTCTTGAGCTAATAAACACATATCTCGTTTTCTCATCACGACAATTAGGCCGTACTCACCGACTCAAAACACACCATATTATTAGAAACGGGAATATTGTTGAGTGTCATATCTTTCTACTCGCTGAATACAAAAAGTAATCACATAGACACCTAGATCTAAATGTGAAGGTTGAATAAGCTAGTGCCATTTGGAGATCTTCAAAGCTCTGTATTTAGAACAGTCTATTACAATCATTTGGAAGCCTTTAAATTCAGAGTCGTATTTATTTTCTGTCGGGGAGGCGGTGTGGCTGAAGTAGAAACGGCTCCTAACCCATTACGCGGTTGTCTGTCGGAGTGAACGCTCACACGCTCCCGCGAACGTCGTCCGTCTCCTAGCCATGTTGTGCTGCACTGTGTCAGCGAGCAGGGATGACAAATTGGCCAAACACTAACCCCATTCTATGAAGGATCATTAATTTCAAAGCTTTATCATAACAACGGGATCATCACGCACAGCCGCCATCAAAGCTTGTGATAACACACTGTTGGCGACGAACAATGCCTCTGTGGGAATGTTGGTCGGAAACATGCGTAGTTTGGTTTCATTTGCGATTTTCGTTTCGCAACGTTTGATACAAACAGTCATTTTGTGAAAAGACATAAACGAGTCAGTGACTCAAGTATGATTTTTATGACAACTGATGATTTAAAATGAATCAAATTCAACTGCGATGTAGAAATTAGAACGGTGTGATACTTTATGGATGCCGACTTTATTATATCATAATGCGACGTTTCGGTATAGATTCTTATACCGTTGTCAAGCAAGAGCGATGAAATTATCTTGAAATATGTCGTTAACCCTCGACTAACACTTAATCTCTGAATATATAAAATTTTGACAGTTACAAATAATCCCATTAAATTGACTTGCTTCACGTTGGGCTTGCAGGGAGGGCTTGGCGGTAGGGAAAATAATGCGCTTCAGGAACTGTGAGACAGACTTCTTTTACCCACACACCATTATATTTGTTATTTTATCAAAGGCGTGAGAAGCTTTTACCTTATTAACGGTATTTCCTACATTCGATATTTATTCACTTTGCATTCGTTTAAATCTAATGATCCGGTTTAACTACGTGAGTCATAAAAAATACGAAAAGGGATAAATTCTCCGAAATCACGCAAATAAACGAATTCGAAGAATGACGCAACGACCAGGCGTTTAAGTTAATTAAATGTCAAAGTTTGGACAGTTCTCTCCCAGCCCTCGAGTCCCATCCCGGGTCCGTCCTTAACAAGTAAGGCATACCTAGGGCAGATTTTCATTGTTTCTCCGACACTGGGGTCTAAGAGTTCATGTGTATCTCGTGTAGTACTTGACATACGAAACCAAGGTTGGGTACATCGGTTAGCTCAGCCTGTCTTCGTGGAACACATGTGCACGAGGTCACGTGATATTGGTCAGGTCCTAATGATCTGAATATGAAGTCATGTCCGTTAACATATTTCCGTCAGTGTTTTACCGGAGATGTGAATTTCGTTAATTCATTAGAAATGGAAATACACCGATTTTATAATTACACTCCTACTGTGATGATGTGCCTTTGGAAATTATTTTAATGAATAAAATTTCAAAGTTTTTGACTAATTTCTGTAAGACACGTGTCATGGGGCAGTATGATATATTTTGATATACTGACTGACTGAGTTTTGTTTTTACGCCGCTTTTAGCAATATTCCAGCAACATCACGGCGGGGGACACGAGAAATTGGCTTCACACATTGTACCCATGTGGGGAATCGAACCCGGGTCCTCGGCGTGACGAGCCAACGCTTTAACCACTAGGCTACCCCACCGCCCCTAGTTTGATATACTGTAAGGGTGGTCTCATATATCTGTCAACACTGGAACCCACCAGTAACAACAAGGCGAGCTAGTACACTGGCGTATTGTCATAAACAACTATTTGAAACACGCCGCTGTGACACGATTGAGTCATAAGTGCATTTTTTCTACTTAATCAGTTATATTTACATGGTAGCAAATGGGTCAAATGAAACACGAAACATAAAAGAGTGTGTTGTTTGGTAATTTGACGAGTTAATTTTCCCCGCAATTCTAATATTCGATAACGTCCAGACAGGTAATCCCAATAATAAACAGTCAGTTCAAGGCAATGAGTGAGTATGGTTTTAGCAATATTCCAGCAATATCACAGCGGGGGACACCAGAAATGGACTTAACACATTGTACCCACATGGGAATCGAACCCTGTCTTCCATGTGACGAGCGAACACTTTAACCACTTGGCTACATCACCGCCCCAAAGTCGGTCTCAAGAACATCGTTTCTCAAATAGCCAATAATGTTTATCCCATTCCTGGGATTAATGTTCGTTATATCCATGTTCGACTTATCCGAAGTTGACCATTTAGGCTATGTGTACGATGTCAGCGTAGTGTAAGGTGCACATGACGTAGCGAGTTCCCGCCAGTGTGGTTGGTAACGCGTAATCATTATTCGCTCTTTTTCACATTCGGGGCGGTGGGGTAGCCTGGTGGTTAATGCGTTCGCTCGTCACGCCGAAGGCCCGGGTTCGATTCCCCACATGGGTACAATGTGTGAGGCCAATTTCTGGTGTTCCCCGCCGTGATATTGCTGGAATATTGCTAAAAGCGGCGTAAAACCACACTCACTCACTCTTTTTCACATTCGCTCCTGTTAAGGTTTTGTACTCTGTATATGCGATTGCGATTGGACCAGACAATCCAGTGATCAACATCATGAGCATCATTCTACGCAACTGGGATATGATGACATGTGTTAACCAAGTCAGCGATCCCTACCACCCGATCCCCTTAGTCGCCTCTTAGGACAGGCAAGAGTTGCTGAAGACCAATTCCAACCTCCACGTGACGTGGAGTGAATGACTCTAGTTTTACGCCGCACTCAGCAATATTCCAGCCATATGGCGGCACGTGACCCTGAGCTTGATGAGGTCATGTTATAATTAAACAAGTCTATAGTGAAATTATTATTGTTTAAATCATAATACCTATATTAACTCAATAAACAGATATATAAATGGTCCCTATAGAGATTGACGTCCTTATGTGCACTAATCGTTTGATTTGACGATTTACGAATCGAAATGGAGGATGTCCAATGAAGACATGGAGAAGGCTATCTTGTACTGCGTCAAGTAATATTCACCTGATGAAGAAACAGGAATTAGCTCTGAAACCGTGTAAAGAATAAAAAGAACTTATCCATAAAACGTGTCATATATTCATGCGTGAAGTAGGCTTGATGAATCGTTCGTTTTAGCTTGCTATGACGTGATAGTTAATCAGGGTATTGCATTTGGAGGTTAATCTTCAAAGATGCGTTATCTTAAGTATTCCTGGAGATAAAGCTCAGCAGCATGTCTGTTTTATGACTTGGTAATTTACCGTATAACCAGTGGGTCTTCTCTAAGGATCGGTTTTATGCCGTAATCTGTATCATCACACTGGCCTTGCCGCGCCTGGGAGGTTGGAGAGGATATGAGACCTTCCTGTACGTCTCCAGTGGCAAAACGCTCTGGCTGCACCAGGGAGAGCATATCACACCCTGATTATTATATTAAGAGTTTGCTGACGATATTTGATGTATATCACGGTATGTGAGAGTAACAACATATGAAACCAACCCACGAACACCGATAAAGTACTGACAGACAGAATCATAATCATATATTTTCGAAACTACGACGAGTGGATCCTGACACAATCAAGGGAAGCAACTCTCCACAGCGAATTCTGCAGTTTACATTGGTTAAAATTAAAAGTTAATTTGTCAAGATGGCGACGTCCATGGAACTAACACCAACGACCAGAAATAGTCATTTTGTACCTCAGAAGGCCGCACTACGGTACTCCCTGAGGAGACCTCAAAGACGGTTAAAGGACTCATATCATCTAAAGTGTAAACCACAAGTAAACAATATCGTAAAACATAATCAACAACACCCGACCAATCTGTCTGTCATTATGCTCCAGACTGTCCAAAACGTTTGATGAACTTGATAATATCGACGTATGTTTACGGACGCTTTGTTCAAATAAACACCCACATCGTGTTCGTTTGAAATCCCCAGCGATAGGCTGGTTCTGGTTGATGTTCTGTAACACTAACATCATTACCAGTGAGGCAACTGCAAGCGTAACATTTCATGTTGAACAATTCCCTGTGGACCAACGCTATCCTCATGCACGGCCCTGATCTGCTATCAAACAGCGCCTCTGACTTATCCTCCGCACCGTGAGGCTGAGAGAAGACCCCTGCCAGTGTTTATAAAGACCAGGGTGCGAGCGGCTGGCTAACAATAGCTGGGTGCATGTTTCCGAATTCACCCCGTCTTTACCGTTATCAAACAAGCCCGGCGCCGACGTGTTTATTTAGTGTCTGTTCGTCATTGCTGCGAATTATGAACACCTTGTTCTCGCTACAACTACTACTACTACGGCTTCTACTACAACTACTCCCGCTGCCGTAGTGTTTCTTTTACTTATACAGCCTTTGTTGCAGCGTCTACTGTGACGTCCACTACTACTTCTGCAACTGTTCTCGTCTCTTTTCGTATTAACCCTATCCTTTCCTGCAGCATCTACCGTGTCGTCCTCTACGACTTCTACAACTACAACTACGTCTACGACTGTTTTAACGTCTTCTCCTGATGCATCACCCGCTGCCTATACTCCAGTTACGTCATCTACTGCTTCTACAACCACACCAACTACTGGAATTCAGCTCCTAAAATCATCTACATTTGAATCTGCTCCAAGTGTTTCCTGTACTTACAGTTGTGCTGAGTCAGCGTTTAATTCGACGAAATATACTAATGTCAACTATTATACCGACTTACAATAGTTCTGCTTCATAGTGATGCTGGGATACGTTGTCGTCTTCTGCGTTATTCTGCATAATTACGTCCCTTTGACGTGCCAGAATCATATCATAGTGGGTTCGAATCCCACATCCGATTCTTCGACAACAATGTTCCCGTGCCCATAGGTTTCAACTAAAGTGTTAGTACTCTAAGACCTAAATCACTTCAGATTTCCTTCTACATCGATATCGCGCTAGATGACACGTCGTCATATATCTGAAATACAGTTCATATCTGCGTTAAATTTACCTCACTCACTCACAGTATCGCCAGCTGCTACTTTTATACTGTTTTGAATAAGTAGCTCTGTAGACATAACGTGTTTATAGCTATTCTGTAATGTTTAAAACTATTCTGTAATCGAAAATGCTTTAATGGTCTCAAGGACGGCACGAAATTATTTACAGGACATGTTGAACGTTCCATGAAAGAGTCTGCTGCATGTGTTCTGCTACACACATAACACTAAAGTACACATACAAGCCACCCGATCACAGATTAACTACAGTTATATGCTAGAATCGGATAAACCTTTTGTCAAGTAGCATATATCAATACATTTGACAGTATCAGCCTCGCTCAGCATCTCAGTCTTCAGGCTTGTGACGAAGATAACCGAATTGACACAGTTCTAGTTATGACAACTTTTGTTCAAGAAAGAAACCTCCATGACGAGACCAACTTCGTACTATGGTAGAGTGAGCTCATAGATCCTAAACCCAATACTTTACTTGTCGATTTATTCACTGTAATAATATTTTGTATGTGTGATCCTTGTAATAACCCCACTATACAAAGCCTATTTTTACTGTAAGCTGTAAGGACCTTCCGAGCTTACATGGATACAGACTATTTACAATAGGTGAATGATTGACTATCATTTTACGCCCCTTCTAGCAATGTTCCTGCATTATCACAGCGCATATACAATAGCACGACACAGATAAGGACTGACTGACTGACTGAATTTGGTTTTACGCCGCTTTTAGCAATATTCCAGCAACATCACGGCGGGGGGACACCAGAAATGGGCTTCACACATTGTACCCATGTGGGGATTCGAACCCGGGTCTTCGGCGTGACGAGCCAAAGCTTTAACCACTGGGCTACCCCACCGCCCCCATAAGGAAGTAACCACAACAAATAATATAAGATTTCACACATTTCGTTCATCCTTTCCTTCCTCTTTCCTTCCTTCATGTAACCGTCCAAAATTAACCATAATTCACTATGAATCATTACGTCTTTTCCTGACATCTAATCTATTGTAGAGACAGCTTTGCTGACACATGCTTACTGAACCTAATTCCTCTATATCCATTGTATTCCGCCACTCGTATTCCATACATAATATTAAATCCCTTAATAATTCAGGTTAATTAGGGTATTGTTGGTGCCTTGTGTGAAAGTCCCTAACGTGGTCATCACGGGTTGGACATGTGCGTCACAATATAGGATACGATTATATTGTTGGCATGGGACATCGGTAACCTATACTCTGAATATCGCTCTGACAGCCAGACATTGTGTAACACTAATTAGTCAACTTTGTATCATAATACGCCTGTTTACGCAACGCCGAGATCGTTATAACCAGTCATGCATCTAAAGGTCCAGTACAAATTGCAAAGTATGGCTCTTTCTAGAATGATCTTGTTATTAATATAACAGTCACTAGGTAAATAGACTTTGGTCAGCCGACATATCAACTTCCTCATCCAAGGTACAGCTCCCCACAAAACAATATTACATAAATACAAGACTACAGACCAATGCCTGACCTGTACACTAGGTCGTATGTGTACACCACTGGCACATTGCAGGCCCTTTATAAATCTACACTCCGGTCAAAACTGACCTGCCGAGTTAATAAATTGTGACAGTGTCTGGTTGTAAACAGGACAGAGGTATGTAGTGGACTGGCTACTAGGAGTGTTAGAGCAATTTTCATAGCGGTATACATGACAAAAAGTTGAATTTCATACAATTTGACATTGTTCCGTGATCTTATTATATATGTTCATGTAATTAATACTCTTTCATGAAAGTGAACAAAATTCGGTTTTGTTATGCGTCCATGTTTTTGAGAATGACTGGTTGATCACACTACGTGTGGTATCGTCGCACAGTTTGAACACGTGTGACAAGTCAATGCTTAGTCAGAGATAACATAATGACCTGTTTCTGTCACTGAAATTGAGCATTTATGAATCCTAAACAAACAATACCCTGTCGTCTGCTCTGCGGGTCACGTGACTTACCTTGCCATCAGCGCGAGAGCGAGTGTGGCGAGGAGGACACGTGTTGCCATGGTATACGTGTCCATTGACCGAGTACCTCTCCGTTTAGGAAGCACCATATCCCAAGTATCATTAGACTCACACTACCACACCATAGGCCGGCCGCATCAATTTATACCACGCAATCTCATAAGTGAGGTGTGCGCGTGCGCAGGACAGGATGCACTTCGCAGCAGACTCTTGGCACCGCTGTGACGTGTGTTGAATCGTCTGCTACACCAGGTACAGCACGTGCGGCGGGAAACTGGACACAGGCACCGCTCCCTCCCGCCCCTCCGCGCTCTGGTTTAGATTCTGCTGTTTAGGGTGCACTTTTTAACTAGCTCCAGCAATATCGCGGTCGGTGTCGTTATGATGCAGTTGATAACGCCGCACGTATTTAGCACCGGGATTGGCTTGTACTCGCCTTGTATTGAGCAACGCTGTGTGATGATTGGAGCCCGGTCACAGGGCACCTAAACTATCTGACAGGGCAAGGGTGGGGGTCGGGCCGGGTGAGAAACCATGCTAATTGTAAGACTGACAGGGCACGTGCAGATGAGTGCCCGCGCCAACAGGTGTCTTCTCTTCCCAAGCACTGTCGGCCCAAGGTTGAACATATGTTGACGAAGCTGATCCTTTGCCATACGGAAATGCTCCTACGGTGGTAAACGGATGCTGAAGAGATTTGTGAGTGGTTAGTTCCGGTGATCTGCAGCTTTTGAAGGTGAAGAGCATCCTTTGTCTTAATTTCGTTAGTTGGTTAAGAGCGCGAACAATTGTGTACGGGGATTAAGGTTTGCCATTGCTTAGCGCTTCGTGGAAGAATTTTGTTTATTAAATCTCGCTTTACAAAGTGGCTAGATAATTAACCCATCCTTTACCTGTCGTATACTACTTAACGTGTCTGCAGAACCGGTTGGGGTTAACGTGCACCGGGACGCCTAGTGCTCTAAATTAAGATGTGTTCATCACTAGACATGGCTGGAAGGTACATCAGGACATTTGGATAAAATAAACGGTTACAACCGTCGTTAGGTTATTTGCATATTTTTCAAATTGTTGAAGAGTTCATGTAAGAGTAGGTTTGTTTTTTGTCCGTGTGTTCTTTAAAGCTCTCGGCGATGTTCCAGCTGTATAATGGGATTCTCAAATAACTGTCTGGACCAGACAAGTCGGTGATTGAAATCGTTAGACCCGATCTGCGCAGTTGGATACGATGACATGTCATTGAACATGACCCCGCGATACCCGTAGTTGCATTTGCCTCTTACAAGCGATAAGCTGCAAACCTGCTGATGGGGTGTAAAGAAAGATGATGTCACTCACTAATGTCCGTACCACAAGCGGGATGCTTTAGACTAACGCTTAATATCTGGATATTTAAAATATTGATAGAAACACATAATTACATTAAGGCTGAAAAGGCCGAGCCCCGGTCAGATGGGTGATTCAGACTGGGAGTAAATTCTTCAATTGCTTTATTTAGGGCTTTCAATTTGCAGAAAGGGCCGGACGGAAGGAAAACCAACGTGGTTCAGGGACTGTGAAACAGACTAGGAGGAAGGGAAAATAATGTGGTTCAGGGACTGGTAGGCTGTGGTTTCTTAAGACCAATCCAGACCCTGGTCTGCACCGGGAGCAGGGGTTACAGCAGTAGAGGAGTAGTTGAGATTGGTTGATAACGCATATTGTGTAACTACGGCCAGAATTACATCACCCTGGCGTTCCGGGATCGAGTTGGTCAGCATCAACGTCAGCTGCCTGTTAGAGGCGGTCAGATTCTGTAAATCGGCCAACAGCTTGTCATCATTTGACGTCATCAGCTGTATCGTGTGTCAGTGTAATCTGGGCTGACTGACTGAGTTTTGGTTTTACGCCGCTTTTAGCAATATTCCAGCAACATCACGGCGGGGAGTGTAATCTGGAACTCTCTTCAAGCAACTCCTCTTTCTAAACGTTTGTTTCGTCATCACAGAGTTGTAGGGTAGCACAGTGGTTAGTTTCTTTGTTGGTTCGGTCAAAACATATGTTGGTTTCCCAAAACATATGGGTTTTTTAAAATCAAAACTACGAGAAGAAACATTTCTTGCTTCAGCAAGTAAACAATGCTCTGGGCTGCATTTGGATTTTTAAATAAGATAAGTATATTTCTTGAATTCTATGTACACCACTCATATCTCTGGATAAACATGTAACCTGGAAGTTTTGTAAAATCAATCACAAGTCTAGAATGGGCTAGTCTAGATGGCCTCAGCAATTAAGTTGTATTTAAATATATTTTTTTTTTGGATTTCTTGGATTTCTATTTTTAAATATGATAACTGTATTTCTGGGATTAAACTACAGTCTACCTACACTACATATGCCTCTAAATTACTTGTAACCTGGAAGTTTTGTAGTATCAATCACATTCACACTGCCGCAGTGTTTGCAATACTTTCATTTGCCAGTTGACCATCACGGCCTGCTGCTGCCTGCAGGCTTTAAAATCTACAGGCCCTGAATGAAATCTTAAGGCCCATTTTGTTAACGTCAAACCAGTAAACACAAAACAGACTACACTGTACAGTTTCACACTGTTTTGTTCTGTCATTATAACCAGGACAACACTGGAAATATGGAATGACATCAAATTCCTGTTGAAAAAAAATTGACAGATAATTTACTGAAGGCCACACGGGCCTGCACATATTTGAAACTGCCAGCCCGATACAATAAAAACCGGAGCTGGGCCTCCGGGCCGGCGATTATTTCGAACGCTGCACTGCCGCTAATGTGTTCTAGCAATTGTAGAGGAAATATAAGACGCTATGTTGAGGGGTGTGGGCTGTGGGTCACCAAGACGCTACTCAGGTACTGATGAAGATGTAATCTAAAAAAAGTGGAAAGTGAGTCTTTTTATTATAAGTGTCGGTAACAGAGGTATAATAGTTATGAGAAACCGTACTGGCATTTTAGCCGGTCCCTGTACATCCTCGCTTAGCTCCACGACAAAACCTGTAAGCTACCAATTTCGAAAGAGTTTTGAAACACCCCCTTAGCTTTCATCACTCGCGTGTCTGTACAACATGCTTGTGGCGTTGTAAGCCCGTATCTCTAGTTCGTATCTTCGTCAATCCCGGAAAGGGGAGTCGAGCGTCGGGGTCAGTAAGGAGAAGCTGCATTTCTGGGTAGACTAATTGAGTGAATGACTTTGACTTTTCAACACTTCAGAAATATTTGGCAGTACCAGGACGAGGAGCGACAGGAATGGCCTTCAAACGTTTCACCAATGCGTGGAATCGAACCCGCGGTCTTTGGCTTAGTTACTTCAGTGCATTAGCAGAAAAAGTGCTTTTCTAAAGGATCTTGTTTTCTTATATTTTACTTCTTTTTCTCCCGATCTGGTAGTTTTTACTTCCGTTTCCGGTTTAAGGAGGAACTCAAGTTTAAGAATAAAGTTCCGGATTCTTTCGACCGAATTTTATACCGTTTGAATATATTTGTTGCATTCGTCACGATATGGCTAAAATATTGCCGATGTGACGATACAATTTACCTCACTCACTCCGTACTGTTCGGTAAGTTTCAGTTTTGATATATATTACATATATATTTCGACACTGATATGTCAGTATGGTTAATTGGAACCAGTCGATGGTAAAATAAATATTTAAAATATTTCAATTTTGTTGATATTGACGATGTCTATTACGTTGCTAAGATTCTTTATTGCATGGGGGCTGTGGGGTAGCCCAGTTGTTAAAGCGATCGCTCGTCACGTCGAAGACCCGGGTTCGATTCCCCACATGAGTACACTGTATGAAGCCCATTTCCGTGATATTGCTGGAATATTGCTAAAAGCGGTGTAAAACTAAACTCACCCACTGACTCTTTATCGCATGTTTCATCTGTAGAACAGTCGTTCTGTGTCTTGACCTTGCTGGGTTCATCTCATCAATCATTTGGCCATTAGGCATCTTCTACTCAACAAACAACTATCTGTCTAAAACTGTTTGTTTTGTAATCCAGGAGGGGAGTGGGTGTGGTCACCTGACATACCAGAGTGCCCCACCTATTTGTCAGGTTGACTTCACGCAGTACCCAGCTATGACGATATACGAACATATCTAGTGCTTACACAGTTCAAGGGGAACGTACTGTTGAATCACAAGCATTTTTATTTAGTACCTTGAATAATCTTCAGTCTTGTCAAAACTAAACTGGACTGAGTATAGCTTTAATACAGCAGTATCACGGCGGGGGACACCAGAATTGGGCTTCACACATTGTACCGATGTGCGGAATCGAAATTGGGTCTTCAGCGTCTCAAGGAATTGCGTTAACCACTAACCTAACCTCTCTCTCTCTCTCCCCCTCCCTCCCTCCCCCCCTCTCTCTCTCTTTCTCTCCCTCTCTCTCTCCCTCTCTCTCTCTCTCTCTCTCTCTCTCCCTCTCTCTCTCTCTCTCTCTCTCTCTCTCTCTCTCTCTCTCTCTCTCTCTCTCTCTCTCTCTCTCTCTCTCTCTCTCTCTCTCTCTCTCTCTCTCTGATGGACAGTGGTTGTAAACAGGAAGGACATATGGGGTATGAATATATATAACTTTGAGTTTGATTGGCTAAGGCTATGTCCAATAGGCTTCTTCTTCTCTAGGCTTCTTCTCGGTAGCTTGCGAATCCTCACATTGTCCTTCGTCAAAGACCCCGTATACCGTTTATCAGATGATCTCATTTTGCACGTAATTCTTGCGTGTTGAAACGAACATATGTCAATTTCTTTCTATCACCTTAACGGACTTCTATTTTCCATTCCTTGGCTGTTGTCAACAAGCCAAAATCCCATCCTCCAAACATGAAAAATAATACAAAATAAAGTATACTGTTAAAATGTCTAAAATTTGAACAGATCAGGGACTGGCGACCTAACGCAGCTTCGTATACGAAGGATGTGTCATAAAGAGGCCATATTGAAGGTAGGGTCAACGTCAACGTCAATTGCAACGGGAACGGTAACGACCACGCATATCAACCAACATATTTGCTTTCACTTGGAAACCTACGTGGGCCCCGTCGCTTCATGTACATTTATATATATACTCCAGTATATATAGTTAGATATATACTCTCCCAGACCCGAGAGGATAGATTAAAAAGAGTATTACGTAAGTCTAGAGCGATAATATTTCGAATTAGATTTATTTACTTTCAGCAGATGTATAATTTAAATCAGATAAAATATATTTAATCTGGGACTTAATGTCAGTCTAATAAATCTTCATGTTCATCTTAATGAGATAAGTGTGTATTTACGGTTACGATGATC